TCATCTTTGACAAAGGAGCTGACCATCCTCAGTGGAGGAAAGATAGCCTCTTTAATAAATGGTGTTGGAAAAACTGGATATCAACCTGTCACAGATTAAAATTAGACCCTTATCTTTCGCCATGCACTAAATTAAAATCCAAATGGATTAAAGATCTAAATATTAAAACAGAAACATTAAACTTGCTGGAAAGTAAGTTAGGCAGAACTCTGGAAGACATTGGTATAGGAAAAGACTTTATGAACAAATCCTCAGTAGCACGGGAACTAGCAGAAAGAATCAACAACTGGGATCTCATCTTACTAAAAAGCTTCTGTACTTCAAAAGAAACCATTAGCAGAACTAAGAGACAATCTACAATGTGGGAAAAAATTTTTACCAGCTGTACCTCAGACAAAGGACTATTATCAAGGATATATAAAGAACTCAAAACAATCAGTCCCCCCAAATATAAAGACCCGATCCAAAAATGGGCATCCGAAATGAACAGACATTTCTCATACAAAGAAGTAAAAGCAGCAAGAAAATATATGAAAAAATGTTCCACATCACTGGTCATTTGAGAGATGCAGATGAAAACAACACTGAGATTCCACCTCACCCCACAAAGAATGGCTGCTATCAAGAAATCACACAATAACAAATGTTGGCGGGGTTGTGGGGAGAAAGGAACCCTCCTCCATTGTTGGTGGGAGTGCAGACTAGTGCAACCACTATGGAAATCAATATGGAGATACCTCAAAGAGCTTGGACTGGAGGTTCCATTTGACCCAGCCATCCCTCTGCTGGGTATCTTTCCAAGAGAACTAAAAGAATCATATCACAGAGAAGTATGTGCACCCATGTTTATAGCGGCACAGTTTGTAATAGCTAAATCTTGGAAACAGCCCATTTGCCCATCCGTTGGAAAGTGGATAAAGAAGATGTGGTTTTTCTATAAAATGGATTATTACTCAGCCATAAAGAACGAGAAAAGATTCATTCATAGGAAAATGGATACATATTGAAGATATACTCCTAAGTGAAATAAATAAGGCACACATGTGTAAATACCGAATAGTTTCCCTGGTGTGAATAATCTGCAATAATGCATAAGATCCTAATAAGATTACTGACATTTAGAAATGGGAAGAAAGGAGCTAAAGGTGTAGGGAAGGTGGGATGGGTAGGGGAAGAGTAAAAAGGGAAAAGAAAAAAATGTGAGAGGATGAAAATAAAGTGTTTGTAGATGGGGAGGGGAGGAGGGGGTGAAGGGAGGGCAGAGGTAAGGGGAAGAAATGAGAATCAAGACTTGTCATGTAGAGGTACAAGATCCAACAATGAATGTAACTGTACTGTATCCCTAAAATGTACCAATAAACTCAATTAAAGCTGAAAAAAAATGTACGTGCTAAATGGTTCTTTTCGCAAAATGTTAATTGGCATTCTATCTCTGGCTTGCACCAATGGATGCTTCAGAAACCTGTTTGCTTTCCTTAACAGAAGATGTTAAGGACATTCTTTTAACATCACCACTAAGGATACTTTCTTATTTATGAAGAACTAAGGCAGAAGTTTGATTTTCCTAGAATAGTGTTTTCTTCTTATGGACAAAGAGACTGTCAGGGATAGCAGTCAGGAACTCGGGGGAATTTTGGTTCTGCCATTTACAACAAAGGGCTCACGATCACTGCTCTAATCTTTTCTGAAATGAGAACTTAAACAAAAAAGCACTGTCTTTCACATCAATTCTATAAGGCAGTGATGGCAAACCTTTCAGAGATGAATGTCCAAACTGTATCCCAAAACCCACTTATTTATCGCAAAGAGCCCACCCTGCAATTAAACTTCAACACTGAAATTTTAGTATAGGAAAAAACAAAATAAAACAAAACAACTCATATATTAACATCTTTTGTCTTAAAGGAAAAACACAGCAACAGTGTGCCATAAGGTGGCTGGTGGTCGTCCCTCCCACCATGTGTTTCTGGAAGAGGACAAAAATACTTCATGGAGCTCACACATGTGCAGAACTGTTCAACAAAGCCACACCAGCGAAGCGCTACCAGAGGGGGTTTCCCTGCGTACTCAGAAAAATCACTAGACTTGTCCAGGCAAGTGTCCTTCCTTAAGTAAGTATGTTGATACTACTTTCGTTCTTTGGAAGTGAATTTTGTTCACTTAAATAAAGTTTTAAAAAAACTGCATTAGTAGGGCCCAGGATTTACCTTAGTGGTTCCAGAGCCTGCCTCACAAGCGCAAGGAGTAGAGTTAGATTCCTGGTACAAAAAACAAACAACAACAACAACAACAAAAAACCAAAACTGGCATTAGTTGAAAAGTTGATGGAATGTACAGAAATATTGTCTTTGGAACAGAGAGATCCCAATGTAAGTGCAGGGCTGAAATAGCTGTCACTGTGTCACTGTGAAGAGTTGCAAAAGATTGTTTCCCCCAACTTACTACCTTCTGCCGGTGAACAATGACCGGGACCCACAGCACACATGTCAAATGGTAAATGAAGTTTATGAAGCTGTATAGATTTCATGAAGGATATTACTTCAAATCAAATGTCAAACTGAATAAACCACTACAGCAAAATTTCAAAATATGCTGGCTACGCCTGTATTTAAATGGCCAACAGCAGTTATAAAGCATGAGAACCACCAAAGATAAGAAATAAGTGTCAATGGACAGTCTATAAGACTTTCTGCTACACTCTTATGGTAACTCACTTGGACACTGTGTAGCAAATAATATTTCAGTAATTATAATAAATGTGAATTGCAAGACATAAACATTTCAGTTTTAAAACATTGAAAGTGTGAGATTTCTGCTGCAGGCTTGTAACAGCTCCATGTGCCTACTTAATAAAACATATCCTAGCTGTAGAAGTAACTGTGTAAGGGTGCTGGTAGCTCAGAGGTAAAGCACATATTTAGCCTTGGATTTAATATACACACACTTGCAAAAACAAGTTCGCATTTTTTCCAAACTGACAATTTGCCTGCTCAACTAGCCATTTGGATTTATTTGCACAAATGAGATCCTGGGCCATCTTTAAACAAAAGAAGTTGTAAATTTAAACAAGACTAATAATTGCACTCCTTAGAACCTCTAGCTTTAAAAGAAGGCTATGGCCAGTTACAATCACCAAGGCCCCACCCTCCCTCCTGACAGACTTTGCTACGCCCACACTGCACAAAGAGGTGAGGTACTAGCAAAATGATGGACCTTTACCAGGCGATCATTCTATGCCTACTGACTACTTGCTGGGCCCTTTCCCATCCCCTCTCCCCCCAGTTCTAAATGAGAGCATCATATCACTGAGGAAAAATGACTAGACAGAAATTCGAAATCATTAAGAAATTATCTGTGATACAGCCAGTGATTTGCAGCTTTAGTTTCTGGGACCGGTTGCAATAAATTGCATTTTCCCCTCTACCTTACTAAAACAAACACTTTTGCCAGTTTCTAATCTTACAGCAACATAGAGCTTTATTTACATTTCACTGAAAGAATATCAGCATAGTTGTTTTTTTCTCTTATATATGTATTTTAAAAGTAATTAATTTGATTGGTACATTTAAGGTATACAATGTAATGTTTATCACTGGAATTTGCACCTTTACATAATCCATCTTGGCTGTTATTTTTTTCCCCATTCCTCTGCCCTCCCTTCAACCCCTCCACCCCTCCCTATCTACAAAGACTTTGTCACTTATATAATCCATCTTGGCTGTTATTTTTTTCTCCATTCCTCTGCCCTCCCTTCAACCCCTCCACCCCTCCCTATCTACAAAGACTTTGTCTCCTTTTTTCTTTTTCTCATGTTCATTCCTTTCCCTTGTTTCTTTTCCCCCGCCCCTCCCACTTGCTCTTCCCCTTTGCACCTTTGCTTCCTATTTCACATTATCTATTATACTCTTTAGGCCTTATTTATACTGTCAGTTTCTCACACTAGAGAAACTATTTGGTATTTACACATATGCGTCCTATTTATTTCACTTAAGAGTACCTTTTAAAATACAATAGTATATTAAATTCATTAAATTTGAATATTTAATACAGCTTATATTTACAATAATTTTCACATAGACTTAGATGATGGCATCTTCTTTTTCCTTTGCTGCTTTATTTAGTTGTGATTATTTGATCTGTAAGTGTTAGCCTAATAATTTTAAGTTCTGTGAGGTCACTGCATGGAAATATAAAGGATTCCCTGATTTAGAATGGTCAATGTAAACCACATGGCCCATTTCATTCTTCTAGCATTATGATGTGTACTAAAAAAAAATCTTAAAATGCTGGTTTAGAAAACTACAGGAAGAAAATATTTAATTATTAACTATTAGCGATATTAAAATATTTATATGCCTTTTAGTTCTACTGAATTGAATTTGATGGAAAGGAGAGTGATGCAGGCAGTACTCTATTTTCTGAAAAAATAAGGGTTCAGATATATCCTTCTTCAGAGACCCTGTATCTGTGATGGTGAACCTTTGAGAGACTGAGTGCCAAACTGCAACCTAAAACCCACCTATATGTTGCAAAATGCCAACACTGCAATTAAACCTGAATGCTGAGGTTTTAGTTCAGAAAAAACAACTTATACATTAACATCTGTTGTCTTAAAAGGAAAACACAGTATCACCCATGCCATACTGCCTTCTATAGATGTGCCTGAAAATCACTTGTGTTAATCCAGTATTTTTAATCTTTAGCCTCTATAAAAGAAACAGACTATGTCTCAAAACTGAATAAAATGATCTACGGTTTAAGATATTCCCACAGCACACACACACACATACACACACACACCCTATAGATCTTAGATCCACTTTAGGTACTTTGTGAAACATATGGTGAGAGCACAAGGGAATGCATATAGATCAACAGTCCATCTGCAAGTTTGTTATCTTCATAGCTCAAAGAGAAGGAAACGGTATGGGAAATATTTCCCGATGAACAAGCAAATGAAAGTTCTAGAATGCAGAAGGGAATTATATTCATGATTTTACCTGATCTGTCCACGGACCAGAGGTCTGTTTTTTGTTCTATTCATGTTTGAGTCAAATGGCACCTCAAAAAACTGTAAAAAGAGTAAAGACAGAAAAGATTAAATATAGTATGAAATAATTATTCTCTTTTGTTTTAGCATTAAAAAGTTTACCACAGTAAACTTCGCTTTAATTTTAACAGCATGAATTTACACCTTGGTACTTGAAATAAATTTCTCTGGCAGAGACAAATTTTAAAAACCAATGTGTGGGCCAGGCATGGTGGTGCACGCCTGTAATCCCACCACTTGGGAGGCTGAGGCAGGAGAATTGCTGCGAGTTCGAGACCATCCTGGGCTACACAGTGAGTTCCAGAGCAGTCTGAACTATATAGTGAGATCCTGTCTCAAAAAACCAAAAAACAAACAAACAAACAAACAAACACCAATGTGTGAATTGTCAGGAATCTCTACTTTTATCCACTTTGAAAGCCACTTGTAAAATGTACCATGATATTCTTGGGAGCCACTGTTTCAGGTAAAACATTAGTGTTGTAAATGATTCAGAATCCTTCATACATCTTGAAGCCTGTGAATCTATCAGGAACCACTGGGTTATAGGAGGAGAGTATTTAATTAGAAACCCAGATGAAACTGCACAACTGTTGCAGTTAGACTATAATTAGAGTAACCACTCTTGTCTGCCTGAGACAGTTCTAGTTTTCACCTGTAGAGCCAGCATCATTATCAACATTATCTTTCACTCTCAGCCAGCACAAGAGACTAGCATAGTCACTCTAACAATAAAAGATAACAGTTCTTACTTTTTGTCTATTAAAAGACAAGGTATGGGGATTACCAAAACCCATTTTCCAAGTGTTGGTAAAGTGTACAACATCTTCACATTTATCAAGATCATTTTCCATTTCTTTTCATACAACAGAGTGATAAAAATATCTGATGAAGTTGTATGAGAATGTCTTTGACCAAATGGGCTTGAGGCAAACTACTGCTAAGAGACATAGTCTGAAAATAAGTAATACCTTATTCCACTATACTTTTACAAATCACCTCATACTATCTAACAAGTAAATGTTTAAAATTGAAGATCATTTTATTCTGAACTATTTGAGCAATCTAGAATTTATCCTTATAGGTTAAGATATTTGGGAAGTTGTGTTCTCACAAGTTTTCTAAAAAAAAAAATTGACATACAGTACCTTAAGCCTCATACTGTAAGACTGTCTTTACTTTCATTTTTTTACTATGTCTTAATAGTCCTAAACAGATTGACATCTTCAAGTATAATTACTTTTTAAATTCTCGCATTACTTTTATTGTTTTTGAGACGAAGTCTTGCTATATTACCCAGGTTGGCTTTAAACTTGTGATCCTCTGTTTCAACTTCCTGAGTAATGGGGATTAAAGGTGTGGGCCACATGCCCAGCTTTCCTTTCCATAAAGACTGTGCTGACAACACTGTGTAGTTACACATGGTGAAGCTTCCCTATCATTTACAGTTTGAGGTAGGCCTAGTTCTTCACATCTGGCTCTTAATAACTATGCAGTTATAGTTTACTTAGCCAATGGTCAGGTACCTGGAATTTTCAGACCTTTAAAATAAAACCACACACCAATTATAAGTACCACCATTCCCTCAACATTAAGAGATCATATATTACATATAATTATAAGACTAACAGTCTTCTCCTGCTGGCTAGCCCGTATGATGGATGGGCTATGCATGGTAAGCATTTTATATGCCCTATAAAAGAAAGTGTACATTGGGCCTGAGTTTTCTGAGCTTCCTGGTTACCATGGCAGCTTAAACATGTGGCTCTAGTCAAAGCAAGAAACGAAATACTGAGTAAAAGAAGCCAAACATAGAAAGACAAATACTGCGTGTTTTCTTATGTGCAGAAGCTAAAAACAACCTGAATTTGGACTAGTGATTACAAGAGGCTGGGTGAGGTGAGGGGTGAGGGCGAGTAACAGAAGGTTGGATAATAGGTACCAAAACACAGAAGAAACGAGTTCCAGTATTCTGCAATGTAGTGGAATGACTATGTTCACAATTATTTATTATGTATTTTATGGAGAGAGGAGTTTGCAGGCTCCAAACATAAATGACAAGGAGGGATATGCTAATTACAGCATGATCAGTGCATGCTATATGCATGGGTTGAAATATCACACTGGACTGCATTAATATGTGAAGTTAGGACATGTTAATAAAAAATTAAATTAAAAAAGAAACTAAGTGCTGGAGATTATGCACTGCTTTATTTGCTCTACCATGGGCATGGGTGCATGAGAAGATCCAAGAAGAGATGGATGTAGCATAAAACAATCCCACACAGACAGATATTCAGGGCCTTTAGTCACTCTATATTCTAAATATGGGTAAACATATTCGCGCAATTACTCTCAACAGAATACACTTCGAGAATACGTCTCTCTTTTTGAAATCACAGTCCTCCCTTGGCTGGGACGCAGTACTTCACAGTGGTTCTCTTGATCCTACATTCTCCCAATGCTCTGTAGGCTCACCATGCATCCACTACATGCCATCCAACAGGACACAACGATCAGTTAGACTCTACTTGCTTTCAAGAAATTCTCTCTATTGAAGGGTCAGCAAACTATAGCTTGTGAGCCAAAACCAGCCTGCACCTGTTTTTGTACACCCCATAGCCAATAATGGTTTTTACATTTTTCCAATCAATGGAAAATACAATGAAGAATTTTTAATTTTTACTTATTTAGTTTTTGGTACTGGGGATCGAACTCGAGACCTTGCACTCCCAAGGCAGATGGCAGGATCACTGCGCTAAATCCCCAGTCCTGGATGAAGAATTTTTGTGACATGTGAAAACTGTATGAAAGTGAAATTGTAGTGGCCATACAATTTTGCTGGGATACTCATTTGTCTATGTACTGCCATGGCTGCTGTTTTCAGACCCAAGGAAGTGGGATTTCATATAGCAGTATTGGGTAGCTCCAAGAGCCTATATGGCCCACATAGCCTGAAATATTGAAATATAAGAACTTTCTTAGTTATAATGCATACAGAACCATCAGAGATATGCAAAGGATTATGGGAGCCCAGAGAATGAGCTTTGAGGCCATCTGGGGAGGCAGGAAAAGGCAGTGGACATTTCCTTCAAATACTCTTAAGCCTGAGGCTTACAGGCTCTGCAGGAGTTAAGAGAGGTAAGGGGATAGCACAAGAGGTAAATGTATTACAGACAGGAGGAGACAGTAACAAAGAAAGGCATGGAGAGAAATGTGATGTGTTTGCGTAGCTTGAAGGGGTAGCACAGAGGATAAGAGCCTCGGCTAGAGGTGGCAAACCTGTGGCACTCGTATCAGTTGTTTTTTTCTGGACTAAAACCTCAGTATCCAGGGTAAATGGCAGTGTTGGCACTTTGTGATAAATAAGTGGGTTTTGGGTTGCAGATAGGGCATTGCTCCCTAAAAGATGTGCCATCACTGACTAGGCTTTGTAGTTACAAACCTACTTTGTAGGTTTAATAATCAGCTTTGCTACTTAACTAGTATCTGTGTAATTTCTGTTAACCCAATGGCCTCATTTTATATACCTATATCAGATATACTTGCAAGGTTGATGTAGCGATTTAGATAATGCATATGAAGCACACTGCTTGTGCAGTGAGGCTGCTTGAAAACGGTTCAGTAAACTGCTATTACCATTATCCTTGTGGGAGGGCTGGTGATGGAGAGCTGGAGGGAGGGAAGAAGCAGATCAGTGCTAATGTGCCAAGACTCTATTATGCATGAGATGTATTTCAGACTGATCCTATCACTGCCACTTGGAGGATAGCTGTGACAAAGGACTGTCATGAGGAGGACCAGAATTAGAGCTGTGACAGTGGAGAGAACAGGAACCAGTATCTTCTGCCACCCCTAACATACTGAGCCTTGTCCAAGGCACAGACACCAAACTTCTGCATTCATTCTATCTTCAAAGAAAACTACTGAGTGCAACCCCAACATTCCTGAGCTCCAATTCTGAAACACCACCCGATTGCCTTTCTCAGTTTATCCATTTGCATGGTTTTAATGGAATCACAAACACAATGTAGATTTAATGGAATCACAAATTCAACTCGTTTTCATGAAGGTCAGCACCTCTTCAGAGTTCTTCATTTCCTATTCAAAATGCAACTTTTTCTCTAAGACCTAAGCCAAAAACCATAAATTGGCTTTGATTTTTTTTCCCTATTAATCGACCAACTATATTCAGTACATCATCAACTCCTGAGAATCTGGACTCCACAGTATCTCTCAAATCTATCCTTCCTGTTACATTCTACGACTTCACCACTATGGAATCACAGCACAAAAAAGTAAACAGTCTCCTTACTCTTCATTCCCCAGTGAGCTCTGAAAAGTCCAGATTCCTAAAAGTTATATTGTCCAAAGGCCATGCCTAATTTACCCACATCAGTCTTTCTAACTTTATCACTTACTTTATTTCTTTTTTGGTACTGGGGATCAAACTCAGGACCTTGCACTTTCAAGGCAGGCAGCGGCACCACTGAGCTGCATCCCCGGCCCCTCACTTTATTTCTATCTTGTGGTCAAACTTGTCACTGTCTTATGAACACATCAAACTCTCCATAGAAGTTGGAAGACTCAGCCAGTTTCTGATTCTGTGGCTAGAGAAAACAGTTAAGTGTCAGGAGCCCGAGGTCAACGGCAGTGAATGAGAATAATTCCTCAACCAAAGATGCCAATAGGATTTAAAAAGACAATATACAATGAAGTGTTAGAGCAAACCAAGGAAAGAGGTTCTGCTCATTTCTCCCATGTCTGCACCTGTTGATGAGACAGGTGTTCCCTGACTCTGCAGCTAATAAATTCCACCCACCCTTACGGCGATCCTCCTTTCTCAGAGTGCTGGGATTAGAAGTGTCCACTATCATCCCTAGTGTAAGCCCATTTCTTAAACTGTTAGTACTGTGTGAATATATTTAAAAGTTAAATACTTTTAAATAGTTCCCTGTTGGAAATGAGGAAAGACTTTATTCAAGTCAGTGAGTTAGATCAGGCTGTCAGAACGACTGAGT